AACCAGAACCAGAACAAGAACCAGAACCAGAAGCAGAACCAGAAGCAGAACCAGAACGTTAACCAAATCATCCAAGAAGTCTTGAAAAGTGACCCTGCTGACAACGTGAAGAACACGATCAACAGTGATGAAGTGTACGTCGGCAGAAGGGTGGTTGCAGCCGGAGTTCTGAAACGGACGAAGGATCATGCGGAGTCACGCGTTGTGGACCAGTTGGACAAGTTGTTCAACAGTTCTCAAGTCAATGATCAGGATTTGTTGCTTTTCTATGTTTATGCCTCCCCATGTGTTGAAAAATGTACAAATGATAAACACCCGGTAAACATCCTCGACAGGATCAATCACATTCGGCAGTGGAAACATTACGCAGTTGTGTTTTCTAAAATATTCAAACCCAGAAGTGGTGAGGAGAACACGGTGGCAGAGCGCACTGAAGCTCTTCAGCAACTCGCAAACTACCAAGGTCATCAAGGTCCAATTGGTCAAGACAACATATTCCGCTGTGACCAGAATAATCAGTGCGTCAGGTGCTTTCGTAACGGTGTGGTTGAACACTACTGTGTTTCAGATGATCCGCAGCCTGTTACCAGCCAAATCAAGACTTCCGCTTCCAGATACACTCGGCCTCAGCCAGGTGGCTCCTCCTTGCAGACGGGTGTTAACATGAATACAGGTCGAGGGCGGGGCATGAATAAACAACGGGGGGGCAGAGAGGTAAGGGACGTCAGTGGTAATACAGGCGGCGGCTCTTCACAAGGTATCTTAGAGAGCAACCAGGGAGCTGAGGATGATGGGAAAGGAAGTGAGGTTGCGACCGGTGAAGGTGTCTCTCTATCACAAACGGGTTCGGATGATGGCAAAGGAGGTGATTTAAGTAGAGCAGGCGATGAATCGTCCTCACAAATAGGCTTCGATTTTGGCGATGGAAATGGAAAAGTGAGAGGAGGGAAAGGAAAGAAAGGAAAAGGGAGAGGAGGGAAAAGAAAGAAAGGAAAAGGGAGAGGAGGGAAAAGAAAGAAAGGAAAAGGGAGAGGAAGGAAAGGAAAGAAAGGAAAAGGGAGAGGAAGGAAAGGAAAGAAAGGAAAGTGGAGCAGACGAGGAAGGAGGAGAAACCGAACACGTGGGCGTCGTAGACGACCAGGTTTGGACCAGGTTTGGTTTTTTGAGAAGTAAACAAATGAACGACAGGACCGAGTCTGTGTTTATGCTTTGAGTTTAACGACATTGGCTTTCTAACACGATCACATGATATTGCCATGATTAGCGTGTTAGCTGTGCAGCTAACCAATAAGAAGTGAAATGTTTTACTTTAGAACTTCTTGACTGTTCACTGAGTGTCTGTAAACAGATACATAAAGATTAATGTATAAAGATGGACGACATGACAGCCACCAAAAGTGAAACCAAAGCGCCTCAATCGCCCCCCGGTGGCTGGCTGCAGTATAGGTCATAAACTCCTCCTCCTCCGTGTTAGCAGATGTGACATGGGTCAACTTAAAAATACTGAATAAACGTTAAATAAATGGCTCCTGAACATTTCTGTCACTTCAGGTCGTTCTCATCGCGCTGACTGTTTCTGATCAGATTAGTTTCAGTTTTAGTTATTTGATGATATATAAACAGGACGTTTATATATCATCAGGAAGTGAAGCTGCGTCGTTCATCTTTATTTACAATCTATCTTCTGGACCAAGATCCACGACAACCTGCTGATGTAATCTATATAATCAGATCTATGTACGATGCATCACTGAGTTTCCTGATGTTCTGTTTTTTCTGATTAAAGCTTTGCTCAGCATCCACTCGTGTGTGTGTGTGTGTGTGTGTGTGTGTGTGTGTTATATTACTGTCAAAGAGCAGCCTCCAGTGGCTGGCTGCAGTATAGGTCATAAACTCCTCCTCCTCCATGTTAGCAGATGTGACATGTGTCAAATTAAAAATACTGAATAAACGTTAAATAAATGGCTCCTGAACATTTCTGTCATTTCAGGTCGTTCTTATCGCGCTGACTGTTTCTGATCAGATTAGTTTCAGTACATACATACATACCACCCTCGCTACATACGTACTGTAATTGTAATATACTATAATACAACCAATTTCATTTTCTTCTTTTTATTTCAGCTGATTCCGAGCACAGCTACACTCACTGACTGGAACTGTCTCTTATTTGTTTAAGCGTCTGACCTTCGGTCGTCTGTGATAATTCAACATTTCTGAGAACGCTCCGTCTTCTGCAGCCAAAAGCCTGTAGCTGTGCACGTTGTGTTTGTTCACACTCGACTACAAAATATAAAGGAACACAACAAGAAGCTCTCATCATTACATTTAGACAATCATTTGTATAATACTAATATACACTCTGCAGGGTAATAAAAACTGAGAAAGATTTTCCGTCTGCGTCGACAATAATGACAGTAAAGAAGATAAAGTTGAAGTTGAATCCAGCGGAAACATTAAACAGTGTTTGACGAGGTCATTCACAGACCAGTTCTAGGTTTCCCACAATGCCTCAGTCCGTGTGTATATATCAGAAATTCAGAAGCAAATAAGAGACTTCGGAACAAGCAACAGATGGTAACAGTTTTTCTGTTTTCTCTAAAAATGAAAAGAAATGTCTAGTGTGAAGTGACGCAGTAGATCACTGGTTCCATGAACGAAATCTGTTTTATTATGAATTGATTTATTGTATTTTCAGTTTCTGTTTAATTCTATATGATTGTAGAATTATATTTGCAC